GGAAACGTGGAGAAGGTTTCTGTGTCATCGACTCTGCACCCGCACGTGGAGCGTGTACATGTGTGAGGGTCACACGCGTGTCATGGGTAGTTCAGGGCACATGTTCCACGTCTGCTCATCGTCTGTGCCCACAGCTTGGCTCACAGCCTCTGGCCGACGTTGTGTTTTAATTGTTGCCCAGCTTCCTCGAGCCCCAGGCAGAGACCCGGGAGGACAGGGCCGGCCCTGCTCAGGGGTCCGAGGCCGGGACGGGAGGGATGGGCTGCACAGGCTCGGAGAGGAGCGTGGTCCCCATCCCGCCCTCCCCGTAGAGGGAAGGGCCTGCTCTCCACCCAGCCCCTGCTCCACACCCTGGGAACCCCCTTGTGTTCAGGGTCCCGGAAGCCACCCCTGGGGAGGGCGGGAGGCCCTCACCTTTCTCTCCACGAGCGCCCTTCTCCCCTTGGTCTCCTGCAGAGAGAGGAGGGTCAGCACAGGCTCGAGGACAGGACAGGCTCATGCCAGACCCCGTCAGCCAGAGGACTCGCCTGTCCCCACCCTCCTGGGGCCAAGAGAGCCCAGGCGGGGACTGGTCATGGGGAAAGGGAGCCGGGTCTCCTTTCTGTGCTGGGTCAGTGCTGGGCTGGGGTCGGAATCCGCCCTTGGCCCCCTGGGTGCTCCGGACACAGACCGAGACCCAGACCCAGACCCAGGCCCTGGTGAGGGAGCACCCTATTAGGGGCACAGTTGGATTAGGGTTAGCGTTAGGGACAAGGTTAGAGTTAGGGTAAGGGAATATGGATAAACGTAGAGATAAGGATAGGGTTACGGATAAGGATAGAGTTATAGTTAGTATTAGGTATACAGATGGGGTTAGGGTTAGGGATAAGGATAGGGTTAGGGTTAGGAATAAAATCAGGGTTAGAGTTAGGGGAAATAATAGGGTTAGTTTTTGGGATGAGGATAGGATTATGGTTGCCATTAAGTTAGGGTTAGGAATTTTTTCCGTTTGTCCCGGGAAGTGCCCCTCCTCTCTCCCTGCCCACAGGTGGTTGGGGGTCCTGCCCAGACCATCCATGCTCTTTGCTGAGTTACCTTTGGGTCCGGGGGTCCCGCCTTCCCAGGGACTCCGTATGGGCCTGGTTCTCCTGCAAATTCAAACATGTCAGTGAGCAAACTATGGGCACCCAGGCCCCTAGAACCCCATGTTTGACCCTCGGGAACCAGAGGGAGGAGACCCGGACCCCAGCCCTCCAAGTCCCCGTTGTCCATTCAGAGTCCAGGACCTGTGGCCAGGGGCCTTCCCAGGGGACCAGGCCTGAGCCCAGCTCTGCCCTCGTCTGGGGACCCTGTGCGTTTCTATTGGCTGTGACTGCCGGGCCCGCTGTCCCCCCTGGAGACAGGCCCCCCGGGCTCAGCTGGGACCAGGGAGGGCAGGGAGGACAGTCCAGCCGGGACCCCCGCAGC